GATGGCATCAGACTCATGAAGAGTAACTTGTTGGCAATTGTTTTGTAGATCAACTAGGTGCATTGAAAAAAAGTATCCCGTTGTCATCCGAATACTCGGCACCATTGGCTTTTGAAGTGCACCAAACTGAGGCTTATCACAGTGACGTCTTTTCAAATCAACATGTGCGGTATTTTCTTTTCCTGGAGTTACATAGAACAACCTTCGCCGACGATTGCTCTCGATCAAAAATTACACCAGCATAGGCCCAGATAGCGAGGCAGAATCCGACGACCTGTTGACATGCCACTGGCTGGAACAAGAATGTACGCAGTCTGCGCAGCCAGCTTACGACACCTGGCACAATCAGCTGACACCAGCACCCGACCAGCGCCGCCGCCCGTCTTAAACGCGCGCTCAGCCAGCTCACAGCACCAGCACCACCGACACCCTTTCGAAAGCGCGCGCGGCCAGCTCATTCTTATTTGCAGCACGAACCCCATAGCTATCCCTACTTGGGGAATAACAACGTATGATCTTGCGCGTGTAAGTTTACGCGCGCAAACAGCAAAGCCCGTAAGTGTCATTGGCCCAAGGCCAAGCAGTATCCAGCGCCACTATTGACTTTCTAGCGTGCTTGAAGCAACGATCTGCAGAAGGATAAGGCCGTGTGATCTTGCGCGTATAAGTTTACGCGCACAAAAGCATGCGCACAATCGGCAAAGCCCGTAGGCTTCGCTCGCCCAAGGCCAAGGAGTATCCCCGCACACTGCCAGCTCACAGCACCGGCGCCGGCGCCCGCTGTCTCTACCATGCGCACTGCCAGCGCCCAGCACCGGCACCGTGTCTCCACCACGCGTGCACTCACAGCACCCAGCACCAGCACCACAGCCCGCACCAGCACCTGGCACCGGCACCCAGCGCCGGCGCCCTGTTTTCACCGCGCACCAGCACCGGCAACCTGTCTCGAAAGCGCGCGCAGGTAGCTCATTGTTATTTGAAGTAAGAACCCCATAGCTTCGCTATCTAGACAAAAAAATCGCCACATATATGCAAGCTACACCACCAGCACCAGCACCGGCGCCCCGCACCAGCACCAGCACCGGCACCCGGCACCAGCGCGAGCACCAGCAACCCGTCTCCACGTGCGCAGCCAGCTCACAGCACCAGCACCAGCACCGGCGCCCGGCACCCAGCGCCAGCACCGGCGCCCGACACCAGCGCCAGCAACCTCTCTCCACCACGTGCACAGCCAGCCAGCACCAGCACCAGCACAGGCGCCCGGCGCCCAGCACCAGCTCAGCACCAGCACCGCCGCCCCGCACCAGCACCAGCACCTGTCTCCACCAAGTGCACAGCCAGCTCACAGCACCAGCACCAGCACCGGCGCCAGCGCCCGGCACCCAGCACCACCGCCACCTGTCTCCGCCCGACACCCACCACCAGCACCAGCAACCTGTCTCCACCACGTGCACCGCCAGCTCACAGCACCAGCACCAGCGCCCGCACCAGCACCGGCACCCAGCACCAGCAACCTGTTTAGAAAGCGCGCGCGGGCAGCTCATTATTATTTGAAGTAAGAACCCTATCCAGCTCACAGCACCAGCACCGGCACCCAGCACCAGCAACCTGTCTCGAAAGCGCGCACGGGCAACTCATTATTATTTGAAGTAAGAACCCCATAGCTTCGCTATCTGGGGAAAAAGAAACTTGGCCTGATTTAAAAGGAGGTGGCAGTAAAAAGAACAATGGAAATGCTGAAGCTCAGAAGATAGTTGGAAAACATGAAGAAAGTAGAAGTAAAATGTATGGCATCCTGGGGACACGTGCGCGCAGCAAATGATTGGCAGATGATGATTCCTCATCGACAGCAGCAGCAGCAGCAGCAGCAGCAACAGCCGAAGACCGTGATTGGGTAAAGATATTTCGCTTAAACGTGAAACCGTCTTTTGGTGCATGACTAGTGTTAAAAATGGCCTTGGGATATGCAGGGCGCTGTAAGTCAAGTGTTGTGTCTGTGTCTCCAGTCTCTAGGCTATGTCTGTGCAAAAACGCTATAATAGACCTATGACATAGCATGTAAACCGGCCTCAGCACGCCGCTCTTCAGTGAGAAGCGCCCGCCAAGCTTCCGGCGCAACCCACAGAGACACGGCCTGCCATTGCGTAGGCGTAGACTCACAACGCCCCGTCTGCAACCTGACAACGCGCCTGCTTTTGTGCATCTTCCCAGTCGCCTTCTTCACACTGGTACGACACCAAGCGAAAGGCCTGGCGCGCAAAGCAACAACGGCTAGTGCGGCTGGAGTCAGAACAAGTCGCGGTGGGGCACCTCGTCCACGCGGATCTTGACCGCCTGCGCTCCGTCGCTCAACTCATGGATGTGGCATTCCAAGACATTGTCCAGGATGTAGCACCTTGCCAAAAGTGGGGCGCTGTCCTTCCTTTGAAAGATCTTTTACAAGCGCCAGCTGAGCCGTAGACTTGCGAATCAAGACCACGTGGCTCCACGGCCGAGGGAACTCGGAACAACGTGGGCAACATTTCCGCGTCACTCGCTGCAAACAGCACCGTATGCTGAGGCCAAAACCCAGCGAGAAGTTAGAATTGCCCCACGAAGGAAAGCAATTTCAACCACAAAGGCCTGCAAAACGAGAGAAGTGATATCAGGTACACATCTTTCTTGAGATCTCTTTGGAAAGTATTCCGTCTTGCAACTTTTCCACTTGACATCTGTTTCTCTGGATAACTATTCTATCGGTGCCACTTTCTCGTGGCATCTTTTTTACTCAGTTTCCCTTTTCGTTTGACATCTCTTGATCATGGAACCCCTGTCTCTCGTCATGCCTTCATATTACATCTCTGTCTCTTCGTTCTTTTTCCCGAGAGCGCCTGCGAAGGGTTCTTCGTAAAAAACATCTGCAGAACTACGTCTCATCAGCTACATCTTCACATCTTCACCTCTGCACATCCACATGCTCAACTATATCTCTGCTCATCTTCACATCTACATTCACAACTGCACATCTACATCTCTGCACATCTTCACATCCTCACATCGACATCTCTGCTCATCTTCATCTTTATACATCTACATCTCTGCTCATGTTCACATCTGCACATCTACATCTCTGCTCATCTTCACATCCTCACATCTACATCTCACATCTTTACCTCTCATCTACATCTCACATCTTCACCTCTCGCTCTTCTTAACTTTCTCTCTTAAGGCTGGGGGCAGCGCCGCCGGACCGCCACGAAACGCAACCCTCTGCGGAGATCGTGCGCGTCGGATGCGCGAAACGGCGCAACCCTCTGCGGAGATCGTGCGTGTCGGATGCGCGAAATACAGGCGAGAGTGCGATTTGCCCCGGTCCGGAGCAACCCTCTGCGGAGATCGCGCACGTCGAATGCGCAAAACGCAGGCGAGACTGCAATTTGGTTTTGTCCGGCGCAACCCTCTGCGGAGATCGTACGCGTCGAAGGCGCCAAATGCAGGCGAGAGTGCGATTTGTCCCGGTCCGGCGCAACCCTCTGCGGAGATTGCGCCTTTCTAGTACAACTTTAAAAGTACGCGGAGCAATCTGTGGAGCTGGAAGCTGAGAACTGGCGACTTTGTAGT